AATAAAAAAAGTGCACATTTTTAATATTTTTCGAAAAAAAAAAGGTGGGGAGATTCGCGAATCTCCCCCCACCTCATTTCCCCACCAATCACCTAGCCAATGGTGGGGAAAGTGACGATCTACCAACCAATCAAGAGATGAGACCTTCTGTCACATTTTTCAAAAAAAAAAAGGTGGGGGGAGATTCCCTACCTTTTTCCCCCACCAATTATCTAGCAAATGATGGGGAAAGTGACGATCTACCAACCAATTATAAAATTACACATTTTTAACATTTTTCGAACAAAAAAAAAGGTGGCCCCACCTCATTTCCCCACCAATCATCTAGCCAATGGTGGGGAAAGTGACGATCTACCAAACAATCAAGGGATAAGATCTTTTTTGACATTTTTCGAAAAAAAAAAAGGTGGGGGGAGAATCGCGAATCTCCCCCCACCTTATTTCCCCACGAATCATCTACTAGCCAATAGTGGAGAAAGTGACGATCTACGAACCAATCAAGGGATGAGACCTTTTTTCACGTTTTCTGGAAAAAAAAAAGGTGGTGGGAGATTCGCCCACGTTTTTCCCCCACCAATCATCTACGCGATGGTGGGGAAAGTGACAATCTACCAACCAATCAAAAAAATGCACATTTTTGACATTTTTCGAAAAAAAAAAGGTGGGGAGATTTGCGAATATCCCCCCACCTAATTTCCCCACCAATCACCTAGACAATGGTGGGGGAAGTGACGATCTATGAACCAATCAACGGATGAGACATTTTTTCACATTTTCCGAAAAAAAAAAAAGGGGGGGGGAGATTCGCGCCCCCCACGTTTTCCCCCAACCAATCATCTAGCCAATGGTGGGGAAAGTGGCGATCTACCAACGTTTTTCCCCCACCAATCATCTAGCCAATGGTGGGGAGAGTGACGATGTACCAACCAATCAAAAAAGTGCACATTTTTGACATTTTTCGAAAAACAAAAGGAGGGGAGATTCGCGAATCTCCCCCCACCTCATTTCCCCACCAATCACCTAGCCAATGGTAGGGAAAGTGACGATCTACCAACCAATCAAGGGATGAGACCTTTTGTCACATTTTTCAAAAAAAAAAAGGTGCTAGCCAATGGTTGGGAAAGTGACGATCTACCAACCAATCAAAAAATTACACATTTTTGACATTTTTCGAACAAAAAAAAAGGTGGGGTTTCCCCACCAATCATCTAGCCAATGGTGGGGAAAGTGACGATCTACCAAACAATCAAGGCATGAGACATTTTTTGACATTTTTCGAAAAACAAAAAGGTGGGGCGAGAATCACGAACCTCCCCCCACCTTATTTCCCCACCAATCATCTACTAGCCAATAGTGGGGAAAGTGACGATCAACGAACCAATCAAGGGATGTGACCTTTTTTCACATTTCCGAAAAAGAAAAGGTGGGGGGAGATTCGCGAATCTCCCCCCACGTTTTTCCCTCACCAATCATCTACGCGATGGTGGGGAAAGTGACGATCTGCCAACCAATCAAAAAAATGCACATTTTTGACATTTTTCGAAAAAATAAAGGTGGGGAGAATTGCGAATCTCCCCCCACCTTATTTCCCCACCAATTATGTACTAGCCAATGGTGGGGAAAGTGACGATCTACGAACCAATCAAGAGATGAGACCTTTTTTCACATTTTCTGAAAAAAAAAAAGTAGATTCCCCACGTTTTTCCCCCAACAATCATCTACGCGATGGTGGGGAAAGTGACGATTACCAACCAATAAAAAAAGTGCACATTTTTAATATTTTTCGAAAAAAAAAAGGTGGGGAGATTCGCGAATCTCCCCCCACCTCATTTCCCCACCAATNCCAACCAATAAAAAAAGTGCACATTTTTAATATTTTTCGAAAAAAAAAAGGTGGGGAGATTCGCGAATCTCCCCCCACCTCATTTCCCCACCAATCACCTAGCCAATGGTGGGGAAAGTGACGATCTATGAACCAATCAAGGGATGAGACCTTTTTTCACATTTTCCGGAAGAAAAAAGGTGAGGGGAGATTCTCCCCCCACGTTTTTCCCCCACCAATCATCTAGCCAATGGTGGGGAAAGTGACGATCTACCAACCAATCAAAAAAGTGCACATTTTTGACATTTTTCGAAAAACAAAAGGTGGGGAGATTCGCAAATCTCCCCCCACCTCATTTCCCCACCAATCACATAGCCAATGGTGGGGAAAGTGACGATCTACGAACCAATCAAGGGATGAGACCTTTTGTCACATTTTTCTGAAAAAAAAAAGGTGGGGGGAGATTCGCGAATCTTGCCCCACCTTTTTCCCCCAACAATCATCTACGCGATGGTGGGGAAAGTGACGATCTACACCTTTTTCCCCCACCAATCATCTAGCCAATGGTGAGGAAAGTGACGATCTACCAACCAATCTGAAAATTACACATTTTTGACATTTTTCGAACAAAAAAAAAGGTGGCCCCCACCTCATTTCCCCACCAATCACTGAGCCAATGGTGGGGAAAGTGACGATCTACCAAACAATCAAGGGATGAGACCTTTTTTGACATTTTTCGAAAAAAAAAAGGTGGGGGGAGAATCGCGAATCTCCCCCCACCTTATTTCCCCACCAATCATCTACTAGCCAATGGTGGGGAAAGTGACGATCTACGAACGAATCATGCGATGAGACCTTTTTTCACAATTTTTGAAAAAAAAAAAGGTCGGCGGAGATTCGTGAATCTCCCCCCACGTTTTTCCCCCAACAATCATCTACGCGATGATGGGGAAAGTGATGATCTACCAACCAATCAAAAAAGTGCACATTTTTGATATTTTTCGAAAAAAAAAAAGGTGGGGAGATTCGCGAATCTCCAATAACCTAGCCAATGGTAGGGAAAGTGACGATCTGCCAACCAATCAAGGGATGAGACCTTTTTTCACACTTTTCGAAAAAAAAGGTGGGGGGAGATTCGCGAATCTCCCCCCACGTTTTTCCCCCAACAATCATCTAGCCAATGGTGGGGAAAGTGACGATCTACCAACCAATCAAAAAATTACACATTTTTGACATATTTTGGGGGGAAAAAAAAGGTGGGGGGAGATTCGCAAATCTCCCCCTACCTGATTTCCCCACCTATCATTTACCCTATGGTGGGGAAAGTGACGATTTACCAACCAATCAATAAATGACACATTTTTGACATTTTGCAGAAAAAAAAAAGTGGGGGGAGAGAAAAGGGGAGACCTTCCCATCCCACATACCTTTGCCAGTCATTGTGGAATCAACTGAGGGCACAACGCTGCTCTCCTCTTCGTGTTGATGTTCTCTACCGCTTTCCTTTCCAATTATCCTCCTCTTATCGACTCATCCAGCACCGATGCC